AAAAATGATTCATCAACTTTGATATGATGTAGAATATTATTCATCAACTTTAAATTTGTTCAACGTTATTCATGAACTTTTGATTTATTCAATACTGTATATGAACTTTTGGTACATATTCAATTTAGTCCCCGCACTTTATGAAAATGTTCAATATTATCCATGAATTTGAATTAACGGAAGGGCAATATTGAACATTTTCATATAGTTTAGAGACTAAATAGAACATGTAACAAAAATTCAGAGATTATATTAAATAAATTAAAAATTTGGGGACCGCATTGCATAAATTTAAAGTTCAGAGACTACATTACATATCGGGCCAAAGTTCATGAATTATTTGTGTCATTATCCCAAGAATTTACCATATACGACGATGGATATAACCAAAGACATAAAAAGAATAGATAAATTCACATTAATTACTCAAAAAATTCTCATTCGGCTTGAGTGAGATAATTGACCCCTATCACTTGGATAAATTGTCCAGGATGCCGGGCCTCTTCATGCTTATCCCAATTTGAAAATGTCACCAAACTCATGATAGAATAATTTTTATCTTGTCGAATCTTTTATCCAAGCAACCAGACGTGTCCTTAGGATCTCAACTGTTAACACGAATTGACATTGTTCGACACGTCCTTAAAAATAAATGTTGTCAAATCCAAAATAATATGAATATAAAATACACAATATTTACGTGTTCAATATGAGAATAAAATTTTGTAATGACTCAACCTAACATAACCCGAATTTAAGTACACGTGAACACGAATTTTCAACTCTCGAATGTTAGGTGGTTATTAGTTACAAACCATACACGCACTTCATCAAAATTCTTCTAAAACTTACAATGCGTTTGATTGCAGTAACGACTATTACACGATAGACCTCTTACAGGTTGATTGTCTATTAAAATATTTGCTTATAATAATAGTTATTACGGCGTGATCATATATTCTTTTTTGTTTTAATTCTCTTTTTAAGTAGGCAAGACTAGTCTTAGGATTCAATTTGATATCAATCGACATGGGTTTTGACAAGTTTATGAAAACAAAAATTGTCAAATCTAAAAATGACAAGATTTTAAAATACATAATATTTCAACAAGAGCACAAAGTTTTACCACGATGCTACAGCATATGGCATAATTTTAAGTTCGACACGAAAATACGAATTGCCAGCATTTCATGGGATGTGCCACTTTAAATTCGGTTTCTGCATGGTTGGAACTCTTTAATAGAGCCAGCTCCAAGGGGTGCTGGAGAGTGTCTCTGTAGACCTCGACTACTTCTTGTATGATATACGAATTGTCGGTCTTCCTCTAAACATATTCTGCTTGAGCCGTATCAAATGGAAAATTTTTAAGTGCACCAGGAGCACAGAGGGCCATTTACAATGACGTCCATTCGGTTGCACCGAACACTTCTCATAGGAGATTCGATATGTTCTTCATATGAGAATCTGCTAACATTAAATTCATGAAGTATAATCATGTGATGATACTTTAGTTTTTAAGAAATGAACATTGTGTGTATAAGATTCCCTATGAAAATGATCGCATATTTTTGTAAACAGGCATCATTGTACAGTTATACTGAAAACTGACATAACGATTTTATTTGGATGGGCTTAGTGGGCGCATCACGACCATCATCAGTTGAATACTTTCTCAAGTCAATGTCCAGGATTAATTGGACGCCATATAATTGTCAGACAATTCATTTATACTTTTCCTTGTACGCGTTAGCAGAAGACATGTGAACTAGAGATTGGCAATGGTGATCTCCAGTTTATTTGTTGCAAATACTTCAGCGTGGATACATGGCATGGCACTATCTCGACCTCGCATGTCATATGCATAAAATATCATCACGAATCGGTTGGAGGTAGTTAATCCGGCGACTCTACTTCCAAAGAATAGATTCACGATTGTTGTTGGATGCGAATCCATCAACTCTCAGACCTACTTGTATTTGCTGTCCCGTCCATAATATGATGAATTAGACACACACGCTTTATGGAAAAGGAGTGAGATCTCTTTAAAAATTATTAATAAATTTAAATACTAAATTTATTCATTGTAAAATTGATACATCTTTCCATTTTTTTTCCTTCCCTTTTTTCCTTTTCCCTCTTTTCATCCTCGACTTTCTCTGCGCGTCCGCGTGGTCAAATTAGGCTGTGACACCAGATTGGAGGTTGCCCCGCCTCGGAAGACTTGGGGCCACTGCCCAGGTGAGTTGCCCTGACGTTGTTTGCTTGGGGGTGGGTGGAGGACGAGGAATGACAGTGGAGTGCGACAATTGTGGTAGCTAGAGGCGCTGCGAAACATCGACCATGCCAGGGCGCCGCACGATGTCCAAGCACCACCAGTGCGGCCTCATAACGGTGGTCTCTCTCTCTCTCTCTCTCTCTCTCTCTCTCTCTCTCTCTCCATCTTCTCAATATCAACAAGGTAGTCTTTGAAGGCGAAATGCCTATAAATTTGGAAGCACCACCGTCGAGCCTCCACATCTAGGGGCAACCGCATCGATCGGCTCAATTACGGTGGAGGAGACGCCAAGCTTTGCTAGAAAGGAAGCTAATTGCAAATGCAACCATGGTAGAGAGAGAGAGAGAGAGAGAGAGAGAGAGAGAGAGAGAGAGAGAGAGAGAGAGAGAGAGAGAGAGAGAGAGAGAGAGAGGTTGGTATTTGGGATTTGATCGCGATTTTATTGGGTGTCATGAAGATTAAAGTAAAGTGAAAACATGTTTCAATCTTGTGAATGAGATAACATATCAAAACGTTACATGAAATAGATGATCGAGAATCATTTCGTTCATTTTGTTCCCAAAATGATTCCATGAGATTTGGAAGGCCGTCTCCTCCTAGTTTAATCAAGCTTGATGTAATACGATTTAAAATAGAAATTTGCAAATGAATTGAAGGCAGAGACAGCTACTAAACCTTTACTCATCTATTCACATTCATTGAAATTGCTCCCTTCGTGGCTTTCCTCGTCTTTTCATTTACTTTCCCACAATCCCAAATTATCAAACGAATTAATGAAATCAAGTTGATTAAACTTCGTTTTTTGGCACCCGTGTAGCGCGTGCTTTAAAACTAGTCTTCTCAAATTAAATTAGAAATGTAACCAAATATTTTTGTCGATAAAATAATTAAATCGAAGCATGGCATAATTAATCATCTTATTTTAGTAAGATTTGGGCTTTCGAATGAAAATTGTTTGAATTCAACATGTATTGACAATATAACAAGACTCATGCTAGGTTGAAGATATTTTTTAGAGTTTTTATATAATTGGCCTTGTTGCGATGATAAATTAACAACCATTCCACAAAGTAAATGCAAAAAGACCGGTAAATATTCTCTACCATGCTGGGCCTGGCAATTGATGTCTCAATCAGAACTCAATCATTAGAGGGAAATTACCACGAAAGTTCTATACCTATGACACTTGTGCCAATTCAATCCTAAACCTTTTAATTTGGTCAATTTGGCCAATTTAGTCTTAAATCATATGACAATTTCTCAATTCAGTTCTAAACATTTCAGTTGTGCCAATTTAAGTGTGATCCTCATTTAAACAACATAAGCAATTCACACTTTTACTGCTTTTGCGAGCAAGCAGTTGGTTTCCATAGAGATTGCTGGAAAGTTCCAATTCTAAGCTCCGGTAGCAAGTCCGGCACGGATCTTATCAATGAAATTCATTACTCAAAACACCAATCTCAATTGACAAGGCGAACGGTGGAATTGTTCTTAAGAACTTGTCTGTACATGCATAAACGATGACTATAAATTTCAATATTTCCTAGGAGCATGATGGATAAAAAAATCGGAAGAAGGCGTGATTAACGTGGCTTATCATATAAACCGACTAAAGAGGGGTGAAAGCCACAGAAGTTAACAGCTTGGAACTAATGGCAGAAGTCAATTTCACAGTTGTTTTAAGGGAAAAATTCAGTCAACCTACCTTTGGAAATAATCAACTTCAAAAGGTTACTAGATGAGGTTACCATTTACCAGTACGTGCGAGTCAGATACTTCCTTTCGCGAGAGTAAAAGAGAGGAAGGGCACTTGGGAGCTGTCGACTCGTGGGACCAGCAGGCACAAGATCCTCTTGGAAGACAAATCTAATCAGCAGTAATGCCCCATACACTGTAAGCAAAAAAGAAGTACATAAACCTTAATTACACGAGTCCCTCCCTCGAAATCAAACACAAAATGAGCGAGAACCAATCTGGAATCATGCTTAAAAGGTGTAATGTCATAAGATTTTCCTACTTCGAATTTTCCCAAACCGGCTATTGCTGCTTCCAATTATAGCACCGAGATGGTGGGGATCGAATTTGAGAAACTCCGCGCACAATTTCGAACAAAATCAGAACAAACAACAGGTACTTGCGACAGTTTTTAAGAGACTCACCGAAAAAGGCGGCGTTCCAAGGCTAATTAAATGAGATACTTTGTTCATCTCTGTCGCAAACAGCACGGCATCCTCAACATACCCAAACCCACTAACGGGTGACCATAACATCGCATCATAATTTATAAAAGAGGAGCAATGTACCTCCGATTTCAAAAAAGCCATCCTCCCACATAAGGGTGCTGAAGTGACATAGAACTTACTAAAAGGGGAGATCAATTCAAGTTCTTACTGAGAACCTATTGCATCCTCTTTGTCACACTCATATACCAAGCTTAAGATCTAAACTATGCCCCGTTAGATCAATTTCAGTAAAACTAATCATCAGCTCAACAGACAATGATATGCTTTCTAAGGGACATAATGCTAGCTAGAAAATTAAGGTCCTCCAATTAAGTTCATCTTTTAATGGAAGTTTCCAAGCAAGCTAAGTATACAGACTCATATCACCAACAGCTGCAAAAAGATTTAAACAGACAATGATATGTTTATGTTAATTTCAGCACTGCCGAATGCTGAGGCAGAATGAACTCCATGAGATTGGAGCGGAGTGAAAAATGGTACACTCTTTTCTTTCTCGGGGTGGAAAGCGAACTCCAGCAGTCTGTCAATGGTCATAGAGGAATCATATTAAGAAAAAGCAACATAGGATCGTACTAGAGGTCTAGACAAACGAATCAGCAGAAAGATCTCTGAGGATACCTTCAACTCATTGTATGCAGAATAGTATTGAGGATACCTTCCCCTTGGTCCCCCTACAGCTTCTCGCCATGTATCTATCAATGCCAATGACTTCTCCATCACATTAAAATCTGGCTGCACAGAGCATGTAGAAACAGCAAATGACAATCCAATAAATGAACAGATTCAGAATAAAAGTCAATCATGGGGCATAGAGTAGGCACCTTTTTGAACACCATTCTAACCATTTCCTGTAGGATATCAAACTCAATAGTATTCTGAAATACACTATTGCCACAGTTTTTGCTAAGAGTCTCCATCACCTACTTGAAATTGATAACCAAATATTTTAGCAAAGTGATAGCCACCTCTTGTAGCCATTTAGAAGAAAGAAAAGAAGAGAGCAACTGGATCCAGAACTACGCACATATATAGAAAGCAGAGCATGATACTGACATAGAGGATCAGAAGCTGTATTTTTGGATCTTTATTGCCCAGGCGCTTCTTAAGGATCTTCATCACCTCCTTTACCTTCCTACAGAAGTTAAACCAATTCAGCGACTAAACCAATATCTTTGACGAAGAAATAACATGTAAGGAACCAGCAAAAAAGTAGTTGCACAATACAATAACTTCATTACTAAGATCCATGACATCTTGGAAGTTGGAATACCCCCAGTCTTTTTTCTTCTCTTATGGAAAGTACAAGTAAAACTACACTAATAAAATAATTTTGAAGAACGAAGCTGCTAAATGTTTTAACAACGCATAAGGACTATGCTATTGAGTATTGAGGGTGCTAACATGTACAGATCAATGCTCTCTCCAACATGTATGATTGCCTATCAAACTCCATATGTAAAAAAATAGGGACAGCAAATAGCAGCATATTTCTCCAGCTTGTTGGCCATATGATTTATGTCATAATTTATCTCCCTCTTTCGTGTGAACACTCCAAGATAGATTTTAGAGATAATTGATACATACATACATACATACATACATACATACATACATACATATTTTTTTGATATAGAAGCATCTCAGTAATTGTGAATTTTCAAGCATGAATATGAAGTTTTAATCATCATTTGGAAGTACAATCATACTCCCTGCAATTGAGAAACAATATTCAAATTCAGCAAGTTACATAACATGTTTCAGCATGACATTCATGTCTTTATATTATAGTGATAGATGATAGTAAAAAAATGCATAGCATGTTTGGGATAAGGGTTATTTGTTTTCAGTAGCCTTCAACTTATTACGCAACTTTTGTATCTCGACATCCCACCTCGCACTTTTTTTTTTCCATTTTTTCAGGTAAGAAGTAGCATTATCTTAAAACTGGGTCAGTCACACAATGCTTTTGTTGCTCTTTAGTAAAGAACAAAAAGTTAATTGAATCACCCCAAGGATTTACATTTCTAAATAAATTCATGATTCATAAGCTGTGTAAAGTTGGACTCCTTGGAATTTCTGGAAGGGTAAATTAAAGAGTCCATCAAAGACAGAGAGGCCGATGGATCACATTGTTACAAACAGCAACGGACCAGCAATACTTAGTTCCAAAATCGAATATTCCAGGATGTATTCATCTAAGCATTTAGAAAGAGAGAGAGAGAGAGAGAGAGAGAGAGAGAGAGTCTTTCAATTACAGGAATTATCACGGTACATTTCCGGATTCCTAAGATATGTTTGTCATAGGTTGATTCGGTTCAACAATTCAAACGGAAACATATTAAAGGAACTCCAGAAAAGGGGCCGAGAGAAAATTCAGCCCCTCCATTGGTAGTAAATCAAAGAAAACCTGAGCAACTTCAAACATCCAAAACTAAGCCATGCCACCACGCCAATGCTTATAAAAAATCACAAGTCTGCCCATTGGGGGGCTTCTATCAAGACAGATTTCTCAGTATACTAACAAGCCATCCCAATCGTTACTGGTACAATCAAAATCAACTTTCCCCATACAAAGACACTTTCAAGCTTCAAATTGCTGTAGGATCCAGCTAACAACTAACAGGGTCAAGCGATTATGCAAAATTCCAAATCAAAATATCGAAAGAGAAGAAAAAAAGGGAGGACATAGGAATACCTACCCTGGGTATCGTATAGTTCAATGTTAATACCCCATTCAGGGCCAATCAACAGATCACCCGTCGTCCTCTCGGCACAATCTACTGCATCCATAGCCTCTGCCTCTTTACTTCAAGGTTATCTTGCAAGTATTCCTGACGAGATCGACCCATCCAAGATGTCAATTAATATGAATTCAAATTCCATAAAAATACAAGCTAAAGTTAAAAGATACCTGCTACTAAGATTTGATCAAGGAGGAGCCAAAAGATCACAATTTTTTTTTTCTGAAAGAGTTGAATTTAAATTTGGCCACTTCAGTAATGGGAACTTTTTTGGAAATTTCCATCAATGAAGGATCAGCCACTGCCCAGCCTTCTACCACCGAAGGAAGGATCCCCATCCGCGAAAAAAAAAACCGAGTCAAAGGGCTTGGACCTTCAAAGGAAATGTCAAAGGGGAGGGAAGTTGCGCTCCCAAGAAACAGCTGAGCGAGCTTTTATCAAGGACGATTGCGAGACGCTGCGAATCCAGTGCGACCACCCGGTGCACGAAAGCGCCTAACTCCTAAACCCAACTGCAAAGCGACAACGGATAACTCCACCACAACCTGCCCTTGTTCGCATCGGGGCTGGGGGGCGAGAGAGAGAGAGAGACGGGGGACACGGTGGTGGTGGTGGAGTGCGACGGTGGGTATGGCAGCTATAGAAGCGCCGCGAGGCATCATCGACCATGTCAGGGTATCGGTGGTTGCCGGGGGGCTCAATCGCATCAGAGAGCTCAATCGCATCGGAGGAGGAGACGCCAAAGCCTTGCCAAGAGAGAAAGGGAAGCCCAAATAATCATCACGGACACAATTATTATTATTATTAAAAAATAAATAAATAAATAAGCGATGAGAAATTTGTCAAAATTTAATTAATTTAAAAAAAAAGGACGAGAGACGGTGATCTTAAATCCAAATTGTGGGAGGGACGGGTTTATTTATTGAATTGGGCCCTTGCAATTGCAGCCGTTGCAGTTGGAAGATACAAACGAGAGGTGAGGTTACAGAGAGAGAGAGAGATGCTTATTTGCTGCTGTGGTCGTTTTTGTTTTCCCTTCATCTTCATTTTAACACCACCCCATCCCCACATTACAGGAATCCCAACACCAGAAAATTACATAACTATGGAAAGACAAACGAAGCCGCTTTTTTTTTTATTATAAAAAAAAACAACAATATTAAACTTATCAGCCTCAACTCACTCACTCACTCGGCCCCCCACGAGGTAGGAATCTAATCTGGGGTATATACCAATGCATGCCTTTCACTTTACGCACCGCCTCTGCGAATGTCATTTCTTCTTCGAGGTCTATGCCAGGCAACTGCAAAGTGACCCGGGCAGTGGGGTCCCACTCAAACCCGGCCCACCAGTCTTTTTCTGCTACGACCACGAAGCTTCCGCTCGCGCTGCTCGAGTCCAACGGCAACTTTCTTAGACCAGGGCACTTGTCTATGTCGAAGCTTAGCCCATGGGGAAAGGATAGAGCCTGGTCGCAAATGCTCGTTAGTTTTGGAAGTTCGACGAGTCGTAGGGATTTGAGACGTGAGAATAGTCCCGAATCAGCTAATTCCTCCCTTGCAAATCCATCCCCAATGATTCTCTCCATCGAATTGCAGAATACGACCGTCAGCTTCCGGAGCTTCGGAGCATGCACGAGCCAGGACAAGTCCGAAAGCCCGCAGTTGTTGACCCAAACATCAACGAGATTGGGGAAGCAAGAGCAGTTTGGTGCTTGTCCTATTCCTTGAGTTATCTTTATCTCACTCAGCTTGGTAAACTGAAGTAGATAAAGCGTCTCTAAATGCGAGAAACCGTCAATGCTTGCTGGTGAGTAAGTTATTACAATGCTAGTCAAGTTACCATTCCTATTAACAATGTACGCTCTCCTTATGCGTCTCCGTAAATTTAGGGATTGGAATATTTTCTGAGCAGAGGAAGACTCGCGCACGCTGATAGATAAGTCGGTGAGATGTTGCATGCACTCTAGTTCCTCCATCGTCTCTTCTTCCTTCACTAAACAACATTCCGATTGAGGATTTTCTTCCTTCACTAAATTACATTCCGTATGAGGATTATCGGACTCCCACAGGCTGAACACATTCAACGGTAAGCTTGTGATTGCCCCTGTCGGAATAAAGATGTTTCTTTCCAACATATTGTCCAGTAGCAACCACCGTAAACGAGTCAAGTTCTTGATTTCTTTGGGTAATTCACTAATATCAGTGGCCGACAAGTTCAAGTACTGTAGATTAATCAGATTGCAAATCCCTTCGGGGAATGACTTGATATGTTTGTTGTTGGACAAGTTCAGGACCGCCAGACAAGTCGTCATCGAGTTGAAAAATCCACTTGGCAAGATAGTTACTCTTGTTTCCCTTACAAACAAAGTTTCAAGCTGGGAACACCTGAATGGTATTTGGTCGATTTTCCGAATCCATTCTCCCCATATAGATACTTTCTTTGCTTCCCCACATTTGGAGATCACGGACATGTCTTCTTCTCTCTCTATCACTAGCAACTTGCTCTCCCTTTGCCCATGGTCACGAGCGATCCACGTCGCCATGTCGCGGATGACATCGTGCATCTTTACGTACTCTCTTCTGCCGTCATGCCCACTCTCCAATAGGCAAGCCCTATTTAACCTCCCCAAGACATGCTCTCCCTCATTACGCAAACTGTATACATCACCGGTGTTTCCTAACAAGCCCTCTCCAATCCAGAGTCCAATAAGGACGTGCGGTCTTATGTGGTAATCCTCAGGGAAGAGACAACAGTAAAGGAAGCAACGCTGAAGAGTAGAGTCATTTAATTTATCATAACTGAACTCTAATATGCGGTACACTTCTTCCTCCATACCTGATAACTTGTATGGATTTTTCTTGAGCTTTGTCAGAGCATCCTTCCACTCGTGGGGTTTGTCTATGCCGGCCATGGCTCGCCCGACGGTAATAAGGGCTAGTGGCAACCCTTCGCACTCTTGGACAATGTCCTTGGCGAGGTCTTGAATTTCTGGATGAGAATTTGCAATCGATTTGCCGACGTTGTTCTCGAATAATACCAGGGCTTCTTTGGTAGTCAAGCATTGTACTTTGAAGGAGGTATTGTCGGCTCCCATTTGGCTGCATACTTCCTTCGATCGAGTCGTGAATACTACTTTGGATCCGTTCTCAAAAACAGGATCAGAAACTCCGATTTTGGAAAGGTCCAGTCTCGCCCATACATCATCAATCAACAATACAAACTTCTTCCGGGTTAAAACTTCCCACAAATAATGGACCCTCTCATCCGGGGACCATCCTTTCCAGCTCTCGTCTTTAATGCCCAGCCTTTTCCTCATAGCGTCTCGAATGCTATCTTCATTCACTTGCTTGGACACCACCACCCAAATAACGATATCGAATCCAGGATTTGCGTGCGAAAGCTTCTTGTTGATCATTTTCATGAGGGTGGTCTTTCCCACACCACCTGGTCCGTACAACCCAATCACTCTTGCTGGTTTTTCGTCCACGAGCCATTTCCACACTTTATTAAGGGAATTGTCAAGCCCCACTATCTCGTCCACAGGTATGTTAATTACTGAAGGGGAAGGCAACGGCATCGTCAGAATGCCAAATTGTCCTTCCTCGGTTTGGAGGTTTGACGCTTCAATGAGCATTCGATCGACTGTTTCCCCCAATTGATAACTCGACCAGCAGTGCCGTGGAAGACAACGACTGAGACATTTGATTCGGTCACGCTCCTCGGCTTCTTGAAGAACTTGATCGACTCGACCTTCAAATTTTTGCATGCTGCCTAACCAGCTCGCCACTTGATTCGTGCGCTGCACACCTCCTCCATCTTCTTCACATTTCACCCTTGCTTTCACATCTTCGCTCTTGGCCTTCAGGTTGGCAGTTGCGGAATTCAACGAGTCGACATTATCTTTCAGATTATAAATGGAGCACAGAGGTTTCCTGGCCAAGCCCCATAAACATTTGACGAGATCTGAAAGAGGATTTGCGCACTCCATCGATTCTTTCGGAGGTGAGAGATCGAAAAATTGAGAGCCGGCAAATGGGTAGAGTTCGATTATAGAGAGAACCGTCTTGTAAGATGCCGTTACAGACTCAATCATAGAGGCAAAAAGTAATGGCAGACAATATTACAACGATACAAGCCAAATGGCAGACATAAGTACAAGCAAGCGGAAAGTAACGAATTTTCCAGCAAAAAAAAAAGCGGAAAGTAACGAATGGTGGAAAACACAACTTAGTGGGCTGAATTATTGCGCATGCGGACAAACAACTTTTTAGAAAGGTGGATGAAGGAAGTAGAGTGCTGCCTACTACTTCTCTCTATACAATTACCTACTTTTCCACAAAACACTCTAAATTGTTACCATGCATATTCATGAGGTTTGAATATCTTTCATGCAAGATACCACTGATCCTTGCTTCCGAGCAATTTTACGATAATGTTAATCATACATTGTACTATTTTTAAATACACTGATTCTTTGTTGATTAGATAGATTATTCATAGTTTTATACAAAAAGATTTTTCCTAGCACTGTTATGTAATTTCCGTAATGGAGATTACTTTTAAGGAGAAAATAAATTTTTTCAATGGGCAATAATTTTGCAATTTTTTGAATAGGCAACTTTAATTTGTAAAATTAATACCTGTGTAATAGAAAATTGTAACTTTTTGAAATAATTTAGCATTACTTTTACTCTTTTTTTGCGAGTCATTTTACTTGATCCACTCGTCCAGTTACATGCGAATTAGCTATAGTTGTAACGTCAAGCAATAGGTAGGTGAAGCATTAACTTTTGACAAATCAAAGACTGCACATTAAAATCCGTATGCATCATGCATTTAATTATCCAAGCATGCAAGGTATAGGTCATAAGTAGTAAAACAAATAGAAGCAGATAGCAAAGAACAGCATTGCATAGGCATTGTTAAGTTGTATTAAAAAGAACAGATCAATAATTTTCTCGAAGGCTGAAATCTAAAAATGTCGGGTAGATGAAACCATATGCTAATTCTTTTTAATCCCAAAAATGAAGCTACTTATTACTCATTTCGTTTGAAAAAAATACATGTAACATGCGTAAGTCTAGTATTCTTGTTTAAACTTAAAAGGGTCTCTCCATAGATTCAACGCGTGAAATGCGAGATGCAATTGTTCATGCATGCTTTTTGGTCAACAGTCGTATCCATGAGTTTTTATAATTTTGGCCAACCTGTCACCCATGTGCTACTATTCTATTATAAAAGAAAAATTGAGGACAGAGGATGGCGAAACTCGATACGCATTAATATTATAGTTATCACTATTATTATTATTATACAAGAAAAGAGGAAAGTCCGAGTGTTACATAATTATCCTCCTAACGAAACTAGATCCAATCTAATCACTTATCAATAAAAGAAGTAAATTAGGACCATTTCCATAAGAAGAACAAACAAAAGTGGCACTCAATTAAGAAGACTATATGTAAACAAATTTATATATACTAAGCTCCCATTACTTTGCCGTCCCACTCATCTATGTTCAAAATAATGGACCACTTTATCTTATAATCAAAAGATCTTTTCTTCTGTGTTTGGTCGATTGGATCAGTGGCCAACTGGACAAATACTTAATGTTTGTCGTTATCCACCCAAAACTTTTTAATGTTCCTGGCTTGAATGTAATTGGTGATTGGAAAGCGGGCCAACGGGTGGAATTCGACAGTAAGAGAGCATCTTGACCTAGCACAGACTCGACAATAGAGGCCAAAACTACAGTGATCCAAGCCCAAAGCAAGTAGCACACCAAGGACAGACCTCGTCGATATCGGCCGCAACCAACGTTCATGTGAAAGCTAACTGGCATCGGTGGTCCCCCAACCTAAACTATTACCCGCAGCAACGTGACCGAAACGACAAAACACCAACTGCCCTGCAACGTATAGAGAAAAGACCTTTTAAAGGCGTGAATGATAATATTTTTCTTTCTTGATCCTATTTCTGATTAAAAATAAAAAAAATTATTTTTCTTTTTCAGACGAGTTTTTGAGCAAAAAGTAGTGTTTGATAACGACACAAAATTTTTGTTTCCACCGGTCGATGAGCAGCGATGGATGGTCGGCAAGTGGCGGTGGCGGCGAACGGCCAGGGAGCGGCAGTGGCGGGCGGCCGACGAGCGGCGGTGATGGCGGCGGGCGACGGTGGACGACCGACCGACGAGTGGTGACGGACAGTCGGCTGGCGAGCGGTGACGAACGACATGCTGGCGAGCGACTGTGGCGGCAGATGGTCAGTTGGCGAGCGGCGAGGGACGGCATGCCGGCGAGCATCGGCAACGGGCGGTGATGGCAGACGGCTGGCTAGTGGGCAGCGGTAGGCGACAAGGGTGAGCAATAAAAGATAGTTGTTATTTCTTTTTCTGTGTTAGATATAGAAAAGTAGACAATTTTAATTTCTCATTTCTGTTCCAAATCTATTTCGAAGCCTAAATTTGTCCCAAAAATAAAACAATGAAATTATTTTATCAAACGGATTTCTGTTCTAAACCTGTTCGCAAAAACAAAAGAAATAGGGAAACAAAATAGTTATCATTCGTACCCTAAGTTTCTCCCGAGGATGCTTCTTGGTCTTGGGCCCTTAGGGGGTCTCTAATAGGTTATTTGGATTGGCATTTTCTTTTTCTTCCTCTTACGCCGGATTTGTCTTTGACTACGAAGTACCTTAATCGAAAGTCATGATTTAGTATTTTGTAGAAGGAGATAGATTTTGTGGCGATTCCGAACATGATATATCAAAAGAGTGAGTAGAAAAGTCACTAGTATGCCTCAAAATCGTACTAATTTTGTGTGTAGCCATTTGCTTATATTTACCTCTATGTAAAAATAGTATTACAGACTCTCCCACAAAACTCTCTAAATTGTTACCATGTGTGTTCTTTTTTTTTTTTTTTGATCAGAAGAACCATATTCATACAATTCTCATGACTTAGCTTGCGAGTACAATGGCAAAGCATCGACACAAAGTAGACTCTCAAGATCGGGAGGGGGGTAAAAATAGTATTACATGTGTGTTCTTATATTTACCTCTATGTAAAAATAGTATTACAGACTCTCCCACAAAACTCTCTAAATTGTTACCATGTGTGTTCTTTTTTTTTTTTTTGATCAGAAGAACCATATTCATACAATTCTCATGACTTAGCTTGCGAGTACAATGGCAAAGCATCGACACAAAGTAGACTCTCAAGATCGGGAGGGGGGTAAAGTTTCCAATTCTGTGGCAGAACATTTTTTCTTTGAGCCTTCACTATTCAGTCTGCCACTTTGTTGGACTCTCTATTACAAAAGGCCAACTTAATATCTGTAAAATTTTTCAATAGATCTTTGGCTTTCAAGATAAGCACATGTATATCCCACTTGAAATAATCTACACATGTGACGGCTTTAACCAAGTCTAAATTATCCGACTCTAGTAGAAGGCAATCCTTTGCCCGTTCAGAGCAGAAGATTGGCGTTTCTAGAAGAGCACTGACCTCGGCTCGAGCTGCAGAGTCGGCCCTCACTGTTTTTTCAAAACCATCTACCATTCTTCCATAGCTATCTCGCATCACAGCAGCTACTGCCCCCGATGTTGAACGTTTCAATAAAGGAAGCATCAATATTGATCTTCAGGACTCCCTGTTGCGGATTTCGCCATATTTGAGGTAAGTGTTGGCCTTCAATAGCTTTTCCTTTTCCTAAATTGCTTTTTCGTGCTTCATTTTGCTTCAACTGAGCTGAATTCACCAGCTGATTTGGGTTTGGTTTCAGTCTTCGGAATATGAAATTGTTCCTTGATTTCCAAATAAGCCAAAGGACAGTCGCAAGTAGCTCAAAAGTTATAGTTGTGATGCTAAAATTCCAGAGCCGTTCTTCAATTCTTGGGAGACCTTGATTGGGAAACTTGATTTGCAGTGAAGGATTGGACCAGACTTGTTTCGTCCATGGACAGAGGAGAAAAAGATGCTCAATAGTTTCGGGATGTTGGTGACATAGCTCACACATCGGTTCTGGTACAATACTTCGTCTGTATAGATTTACCTTTGTTGGTAATGCATTTTGACATATCGCCCATAGGAAAAATCTGGTCTTCGGTTCTGTGTTTGCCTTCCAAATTTTTATCCACAATGCTTCGGGGGTTTGATATGAAGAAGAAGCCTGATTTGGGTTTGGTTTCATTGCAAGGTCTCTGTTTCTATTATAGCCACTCTTAACTGTATAGGATCCTGATTTGGTATTTAACCAAACCAGATTGTCTTTAGTGTCATGTGACCTCAATGGGATTGCAAGAATTTCATCGACAATCTGTTCATCAAAAAGCTGCTGTACCATCGATTCATTCCAATTCGACTCCTCCTGCAAAATTAACTCAGCTACCCTCTTAGGCTCCTCACGATTAGGTGGACCCCCAATAACTCCCCTATGAAGCCATTTGTCTTCTCTAATGTTAATCTATTCCCCATTGCGCACAGACCACATAATGGAATGATGGATAGATGCTCTCCCCATCAGAACACTAAGCTACCCCCATGATGGACGAGTCCCTTTCCCTGCATGCTAGAAATCACAATTAGGGAAATACAGCCCTTTCAATACTTGAGTCCATAATGAGGAAGGGTTTTGGGTAATTCGCCATGCTTGTTTTCCCAACATAGCCCCATTAAAAGCCATTAGATCCCTGAATCCAAGTCCTCCACTATCATTTCTTCGTTTCAGAACATCCCATTTCCTCCAATGTAGTCCAGCTTGTGTTTCACCATTTTTCCACCAAAAAGATGCAATTTTCTTTTCAATTGCTCTGCAAATGGAGACGGGGATTTTAAAGATAGACATAACATATTGGGGTAGTGCTTGCACCACTGCTTTGAGGAATATTTCTTTTCCAGCTTTTGACATTAGATTTTCCTTCCAACCTGCTAGTTTCGTGTTTACTCTTGCTAGTATCCAAGCAAACATATGTTTTTTTTATGCCCCCCAGTCTGAAGGGATCCCTAGGTACTTCCCCGTCTTCTCTAATTCTGGAACTCTAAGCTCATATGACATATTCTGTCTCAAACTCTGTGGACAATCCTTGCTGAAATATACCCCTGACTTGTTTAAGTTTATTGATTGCCCAGACGCAAAACAATATTGATTCAAAATAGCTGCAACATTCTGGCATTCCATAATCGTTCCATCGAGGAAAAAGATTGAGTCGTCTGCAAACAAGAGGTGAGATAGCGTGGGGCAGAATCTATTCAGCTTGATCCCCTTTATACTTCCATCCTCCATTGCCTTTTTCATCAAAAAAGATAACACATTACCCACCAAGATGAACAAATAGGGGGAGAGGGGATCACCTTGTCTAATTCCTTTTGTTGGTTGAAAATAGGGTAGAGGCTCTCCATTTAGCTTGACACTAAAGGACATAGTAGAGACACATTGCATAATCCACTTCACCCATTGATCACTAAAACCCATCTTCCCCATGCAAGCTTCCAAAAAATCCCATTCAACTCTGTCATAAGCTTTTTGCATATCAAGTTTAAGCACTGCTTGAAACTTTGGTTTTCTCTTTCTGATTCTCAACTGATGTAGCACCTCTTGGACAATTAAGATGTTATCCTGAATTTGTCTTCCACTCATGAAGGCACTTTGCTCAATAGAAATTAAGTTTGGCAAGCATATTTTCAATCGGTTTGCCAAGACTTTTGATATAATCTTGTACGCAAAGTTACACAAGCTTATGGGGCGAAATTGTTCCAGTTTTTCCGGGTTTGGGATCTTTGGAACGAGGGATTTATATGTTCTGTTCAACTCTGAGTTGAGATACCCTGAGCGAAAAAAAGTTTTGTACCTCCCTGAAAACTGATTGTTGTAGCTCTTTCCAGTTATGCTGAAAAAACTAGCCATTTAAACCATCGGGTCCTGGGGCTTTTGTAGATCCAACTGGTAGACTGCTTCAGTTACTTCTTCTAGTGTCACTGGCTTTGTTAACATCTAGTTCATGTCCTCCCCTACTAGACAAGGATAGTCCTCCAGTGTTGGCTGGAAATTTCGAGGGCCGACTGTTTGAAAAAGGTTGCTGAAGAATTGAGATGTGTGCTACTTTAGTTGAGTTATATCATGAACCCATTCCCCTTCTTCATTTTTTAACATGGAGATTTTGTTCCTCGGTCTCCTCTGAATTGTTGTGGCGTGAAAAAATTTAGTGTTTTTGTCTCCCCATTTGAGCCAATTTACTCTCGATCTCATACCCCAATACATCTCCTCTTGTCTCCACATCTTCTCGATTTCATTTTTCAGAAACTCCACCCTCTCTCTGTCCCAATGCAAGTGTTGGTTGTTGGAGATATCCTGAAGCTCTCTCTTTAAAAGGTCTATTTTCTTCTTTCCATTGGAGAACTTTGTGTTGCTCCATTTAGATAGAGCCAATGATACTACTTTCAGCCTCTTCAGCAGATCTTCATTCATCAATTCTTCCGAGTGCCAGACTTTTTTAATGATGTTTCCACATTCCTCATCTTCCAGCCAAAAAACCTCAAATTTAAAGTCTTTTTTCCTTTTCACTAACTCGGGAAAGAGAGATAACAAAATAGGACTATGGTTTGACCCTATTGCCGGCAATGCATATGCTTCAGCGTTAAATTAGATTAAATCACAGATAATCACAAACTGGTACACTTGTAACAAACTGAGGGTAAAACATAAAACTAGTACATTAGGCAAATGACTTGTGCCATTTAACAAAGTAATTTAACAATAAAATTTAAAGGAAATAAACTGAGGGTAAATTTATCACAGGTATACCAATTTGGGGTTTTTGATTGTCAAAAAATTAGTTTGGGGTAAGATTGTCACATATGTACCAATTTGAGGTTTTTCGTAGTATTAACCATATTTTTATATGCATTAATTCTTTATTAATTAGATAGATTATTCATAATTTTATACAAAAAGATTTTTCCTAACCTTGTTATGTAATTTTCGTAATGGAGATTAATTTTAAGGAGAAAATAATTTTTTTTCAAGGGGCAATAATTTTGCAATATTTTGAATTGGCAACTTTAATTAGTAAAATTAATACCTGCTAATAGAAAATTGTAAATTTCAAATAATTGAGCATTATCTTTCCTTTTTTTTTTGCGAGTATTTTTACTTGATCCACTCATCTTAGTTACATGTGAATTAGCCATAATTATAAGGTCAAGCAATAGGTAGGTTTACCATTAACTTTTGACAAATCAAAGACTACACATAAAAATCCATATGCATCATGCATTTAATTATCCAAACATGCAAGATATAGGTCATAAGAAGTAAAACAAATAGCAAAGAAAAGCATTGCATAGGCATAGTTTAGTTCTATTAAATAGTAACATATAGAGTTCCAGCGGTTGCTTGCGCAACAATTAGTATATACTTAATAAAGTTTAGTCATTGTGACCGGTTAAAATTACTCAAAAGGACATTTTAATATTTAAAAGCGCAGTTGAAAAGTTGGATAGGATAAAACTTAAGACGTATTGTCGTTGTATACTAATCACACACTATTACGAGACAAGTAGAAGTTATACCCATGGTGCTGAAACGTTAAATTTTCCATCACACTTCCATTATTTATTTATTGTTCTCTTAGATTGTTTGTAAGATGCATGGCTTAATATCATGTACAAACTGACATTTTATAATCTTGAGGTAGAATCAATTCTCTTGTTCACATTTTACTTGATAGATCTGTTAAGAAGACAGTATGTAAACAGATCAGTGTATAGACGATCCCATTACAAATGCTGTCCCACATATCTATTTCCAAAATAATGGACCACTTTATCTTATAATCGAAAGATTTTTTCTCGTGTTTGGTTGATGGGATGAGTGGTCAACTGGACAAATATCCAATTTTTGTGGTTATTTGATGGTCCTGGCTTGCATGTATTCGTTTTTTTATTGGTCGGAGCTTGCATGTATTCAGTTACTGGGAAATTATATATATTTTTTATATAGTGGTTTCTTAACGCAAACAAGGAATATAAAATACAGTGTAAAGAGATTACACTTCTGATCACTACACTTTAAGAGATATCATGATTGGCCCCTTTATTTTCATTTGTCATAAGTTTTAATTACCGTGCTCTTCTCTAACCACAGTATAAGTAATTTCGTCAAATTTTCATTCCAAAATCCAGTGAAAATTTTTTAGTCAGCACTCGCCCTCAACATGTGGTACCTATATGTAAAAGTCTTTGTGATAGTTAAATCTTTTGCTAATAACTTTAACTCTCTACATTTGTATAGTAAAATAAAGGTTCCTCCCCCACAACGGTAGTTGGTCTAGAGGTATGGGGCTTACTCCCAAGAGGTTTGAGACCCTCTGATCTTATGTTTGTATCCCCAAATCTCTCATCGGCCTTAAGGTACCTTGGTTATTTTGGAGCATTGGTTCGATCATGCCTTGATATTGGATAATCCCTACTCTACTCCCACTAAAATCATGGTGGGACAGCGATGACGTGCTTGCTCAAAATGAGTAATAGATATGGCTCAAACCAAATATTCTGTCGCGGGTATGGAACTCATATGATAATACCCAAGAGGGTCGCTGATGCTGGTGGCCCCTTCCCACCCTTTTTACTCAAATGACCTGTAGCATATTTCTTGACTCTAGAAATGACAATAACCCACGTGAAATTAATGATAGTGACTTTATCAAGTAGTGAAAAGGCAGAAAATAGCGAGTGTCAACCTTAACTCTTCAATAATGAGTAAGTAATTACATTACTACTGAGTTTGTTGATACTAATCGTAGAGATTGGTAAGTGCAGGTGTCACGTACTAATCAACGGATTCACTAGACATTTTGGTCAGGCGTTGCAGTGGAAATATTAAGACAAGTACTTTCAAGAAAAAAGAATACACGGGCTAAAATTGAATAATTGTAAAATTACGGTGATCAAGGGTGTAATTTATGTTCTTTAGTGGTACACATAGGCACCACAAGTCAATAATTAATATCTTTCTCAACGAGTCCTTTCAAACTTTGAATGTAGATTTGATAAAGCGACTTAAATTGTCTCTCAATAATAGTATTTTAAACTAGAATTATGACGAAATAAAGTATGGAGACGGAAATTCAGTGGTGGACTTGGGATGAGTAATGGCCCTGCCCCCCTTCCAAATATTTCTATATTACCCAACGAGAATTTTTTAGATATATTATCTTTTATTAGGAGAAATTTTTTTCTTAACCCTAATATTGAATTCTCGACTGAACCACCCATTTGACGTCCCTATATAATACCGGCTTTTGAGCATGATGGGAAATTCTGAAGAGAAAAATATATGACGTGATGGCATTGTTGAGGCAATTTCTTAATAGATTTTGAAATTGACAAAACTATCCATGTTAATCTTGTAAATCTGATATGTACTCTGAAGTATTTTGATCCAGGTAAATATATTCTGGAAGTGGCAACTTTAATACTTTAAGATAACTTAACTTTTTGGACACTCAGACTTTACGAGATTCAGAAGGAAAACTTCAGACTCTACGAGTTTCAGAACGAAAAGTTCAGACTCTACTGAAATAGACACTCAGACTTTATCTTAAGATATCAGAGAACTTCAGACTCTAATTTTGAAGGACTCAGACTTTACTGAAGACCTACGCTGACTTTGTTTCTGATTATAAAGCGAGAACCAAAAACTCTTCAGACTCAGAATTTATTTAGAACGAAACATAACGGCTAGCGATCTGGTGTGGATTTCACAAAAGGAAAGTTTTGATTGACTCAATCGAAGGCTATAATTGATTGACAAATCAGACATTATGGCAAGTATATATCACAACGGATAAAGCTCTTCTTATGAAAACCAAGATTTTGGTTGTATAGGCGACTAGATTCAGTGGGATTCAGATTTTATCAACCAACGGCTACTCAATCTATTTTATACAAATCTGTCCAAGGTGAAGATTGGACGATGATCCTCTGAAGACTGTCCAACGGCTAGTTTGGAAGTGGAGGAGTATAAAAGGAGATTAACGAGGAGCAGAAGGCAGCGAAGGAAATCGAGAATCAACAAGTCCAAAGTTTGAGTACGTTCCGATTCTATTACTTGTCTTTCTTGAGCTAAATACTGAGATTTCGAGTGACATTATGTAACAGTAATTGTGTAAGATACAAAGTTCTGTCATTCACCGAGTGTTATCACTCATAACTTGTAATCCCTTTTGATCATATAGTGGAATCCAGTCAGTAGGCTATCAGCGTGGGAGAGTAGACGTAGGTTTGATCTAAGCCGAACTACTATAACTTCTTATGT